CTAATTATATTACTCAAAATTATTTAGTGATACAACATATCATTCAGAGGATTTCTGTTTCATAAATATGATGAAGAAATTAGGCAAAATTTTCATGTTTGATATTTTAAATATTTAGGACTGCCCAATATGGAAAATATTAATGGATAAGATTAAAATTTTCAACAATTATGTAGCTAATTTTGGCCACTTTTCTGATTTTCAAAAGAAATACTATTCATTAAAATTGAAACATCTTGAAAGAATTGGACTGTAGACCATATTACGCACTTAGAAAAATGTCCATCAAATATAGAGTTGATATTTATACATGCATCATTATACACAAAACTACAAGTGTTACAATTTGTAACTTCTTAATTTTGTGAATTCTTCACTTTAAATATTTATTGTTTTTTCTTAAACTATTTTCTTTATGATGTCTAATACCTAAATATTAAAAATGTTTCCAAAAAAAGTCTCTACACAATATTCTACCATGCTGTTACCTTCCATAAACAATCTTTTGGTTTTTTTTTCTTTTGTTTTGTTTTGTTTTTGGGTCCGGTTGTGGGGCCTGAACTCTGGGCCTGGATGCTGTCCCTCAGCTCTTCAGTTCAAGGCTAGCGCTCCACCACTTGTGCCACAGCTCCACTTTCGAGGTTTTTTCTTTGCTTATGTGGTGCTGAGGAATCAAACCCAGAGCCTCATGCATGCAAGGCAAGTGCTCTACCACTGAGCCACCTTCCCAGCCCTGATCTTTTTTTTCATGAAAAAATTGATTTTAAATAAGATATTTCCTCATCTCAGAGTATTAGTACATGCCTTGAGTGTGTGTTTGTGTGTGTGTGTGAAAGGGGGTGGCACTCTGTAACTGTCCCATGTTAGCTTCAACTCACAGCCTGGTCTTTCTCCTTAGCTTTTTCACTCAAGACTGGCACTCTACCATTTGAAGTACAGCTCTACTTTTGACTCCTTTCCATGGTTAACTGAAGATAATAGACTCAAGGACTTTCCTTCCCAGTCTAGCTTCAAATCACAATCCTCAGATTTCAGCCTCCTGGGTTTGCAAGCTCTTGGCTTCAGAATATATTCTTTTTTTTTTAATTTAATTTTATTTTATTTGTGAACATACTGTACAGAGGGGTTACAATTGCATGGGCAGGATAATGCGTACATTTCTTATCAAGCATTGCAGCCTCCTCCTTTGTTTACCCTTCACATCCCTTCCCAGCCTCCCCCCTCCCCCCAACCCCCCCCCCTCTCCCCCCCCCACCAACATTGTAAAGCTCGTTTTGGACATGACAACTTGTACTTCTCATTGTTGCAACAGGTACACCTGTATCCTTAAACAACTGGCTTTTCTTCATCTCCTCCACAAGTTATACTGACATCAAATATAGTGAAAGCAGGGGCAGAATATATTCTTAAAGAGCAGCAGTTTCCAAGCTTTGTTGCAGTGGCTTCCTATGCAATGTTACCCATGGAAGCTCTTTTGTTAAATAATCCTCCAAAATATTCTCATAATGTGTATTTGGCTCAGCATAGAATCTTCAATTCTATTTTCCAAAAGTTTGAACACAAATTTTATTGTGGGTGGTATGCTGTATCTGATTTTATAAAGTTATTTAAGCAGGATACCAGTGGCTCACTCCTATAATCCTAGCTACTCAAGAGGCTGAGATCTGAGGATTGTGGTTCAAAGCCACCCTGACCAGGAAAGTCCATGAGATTCTTATCTCTAATGAACCACCAGAAAACCAGAAGAAGTGCTGTGGCACAAGTTGTAGAGTGCTCACCTTGAGCTGAAGAGCTCACTGACAGCACCCATGCCCAGAATTCAATCCCCACAGCCAATCAAAAAAAAAAGTGATTTAAAATTCCAGGTGACTCAAAAGGCATCCCCCCTTCAGTGTTTATTACTAGGCCATCACAAAGCTCTTGGCCATATTAGAAGCATATTATGCTAGTAGGAAAAATGTTATGTAAGAAAACCTTAGGGAATCTGTAGTAGAAGAATATCGTCTTTCACAGAGTGAAGAATTTGGTTGAACATTATCTCTGATAGACAATTGAAGAAAGATGTTTTCTTTTGCTATTTTAATATTTGTAGTACATCAAAAATGATTTACTATAAGTGTGTCTCAATTCAGAGAAGAGAGGCATAAATCTAAAGCTCCATTTTTCATTCCTTATAAATTCTTTAAACATGTACACCCAGTACTGATATAAAAGTACCCATATATGTATGTTCTTTATCTTAGTATATTTACATCTGTCAATCTATTCACATTTATACATCTTTATTTGTAATCTATGCATATATCTTTAAAAATTCTTTAGGACATATTATACATATGAATATGTATTTATACATGTAAAAGTAATATCAAAGTTATTCATCATCTTTTAATCAGGATGAATTCCTTTTTCCTTTCTTAGCATTATATAAAACATAATACAACAAAGAAATCTAGTAAGCACAGTCTTTAAAGTTGTATAATTTAAATCTTTACTCTTCTGATTTCAGCACTTCTGAATTTTCCACTCAGAGCTTAAGAAGTTGTGAAAATCATTCCTAAAATTGGCTTAATAATGTAATGGAAAACTAAGGATTCATTTATTTAAATTAAGCCAATTCTAGAAAATACTTAGGAATTGGATGTTTTGTTCTTTGAAGACTGAAAAGGAATGTTTCAGAAAAACCACTGGGCTTTACCAAAGATCATTCTATGATCAGTTATTCAATTGAAAAATGTGTATTCAGAAAAAGAAAGACAAGAAACATTTTGGATGTTCATAGAACATTATGATGGTTTATGATGTTGTAATACTTGCCTCTTCAGAGGTTATCAGTGAATGATTGGTAATATAAAAGTGTAGTTCAATATGAGAGCAAAAGTAGACTTTGCAGATTTACGCTTTAATTTACATTACCTGTTAAAATAATGTCTGATTTCTGTAGGATTAAAATTAATATATGCCATTATGATAACACAATTTAAATTCCTTTCAAATGTGTTTAAAGAAACAGCTTACAAGATATAAGGATAAGTTAATATTTAGTTAAAGATGAAAAAACAGAATTTTAAATGTTATATCTGTTAAATTTATAAACTCCCTGAACTGTGTTCTTAATTTAAAAAGATTAAATTAATTTTAATCAGTGTAATTTAAAATACGTAAGTTGACATAATATCTCATTATGTCTTTAATTATTGTACATACTAATTATTATTCTTTACATATATTTATGCTCTATTTTCCCAAGGATATTTTTTATATCTTTGATCTAGAACTAAGAAGACAATTATGTAAACATTTTTATATATCTTAGTCATTCTTCAAAAACCATTTTAATTAATTATACTACATGACTTATGAAGGAGGAATAATATTTCTCTCAGTTAAAAGTTAGCAATATGATAATCCATTTAGAAATTCATCAATTTAAATAAATTTCAATTTCTTTATGAACAAAAAGAATGTAGTAAACATTAGAATGTTCAATCTAGCTGCAGTATTTTACTCAATATAAGAATTATAAGAAGTAAATAGCTAGAGACTGATGTAAGAAAAATGGATATTGCTGTTAAAAATTGGAGAAAATGTTGAATAATTAATATTCCCAAGAGCTCAGACTCAGATTGCCTGGTAAAATCTTACAGTATTAAAAATATTCTCTTCTCCCTCATTCTCTGTGGCTCCATAATTGATACATTGTCAAACTTTTCACATGAAACCTTTACTGGAATCAAAGTGATTTGAACAAGGATAGGCACAAGCCCTAAGGCAATAAAAAATGTATTCCAATACCAAGATTCTACAAAATAAGAATGAAAGCAATTAAATAATACAGTGACATCCTATAATGGAGAAGTTAATTGTTAAGCAGAATAAGAAAATGAGACATTGAAAGTTGGTAAGTGAAATAGAAGCTAAGGGAGTTAAAGCAAAATTTAATAAGAATAGAGTAGGATCAAATGGATAGAGCATGACCTATTCTTTTGCTGGTCGTTCTGAAAAATCCATATGTTTGGCCTATTTCAGTTTTCTAAATAAAATCTGAGAAATAAAAGCAACTAGCACCTAAACATCTTACAAATACTAGAGAAAAAATGTATATAAAATTCTCATCACTACTAGCAAAAATAAGAAGTCAATTGTGAGGTACTAACACTGATATTACATACTTGGTGACATTTGTTTTTTCAAATTATTTTGTATTGTCTGAGTTGACAAGAGTATTTAGATATTCCCATGTTCACTTTATGTCTAATTTTATCATTGCTCTTCAACACCTGTAAATTGTGGTTGTAAGAAATGAGATTTTTTACCTCTCTTTATTTCTACATGTACTAAATTAACTCAAGTGTGTAAAAACATTGTAACTATCACAAATAGGGAGAAGTAATTTAAACATGAAATTTTCCAAAAACACTCTATGTTCCTACTGAGTTTTATGATAAGGGGCACTTTTGTGTATGCCATTGTATTTTACACAATTGTGTTTAAATTGGTAAAGTTGATAGATGTTAAAATCTTCATTTTCCTTCATAGTACAATATTCAACAAATGTATGCTTAAGGAGTTATTCTAATAAATGTGTAAATTCTTCATTATATGGAAGATATTTTGAAGCATTTCACTCAGTTCGATTTTAAGCAAATTCTATAGACCCAAGAATTAAAAATGGAAGATTGAGGAAAAGTTTATAATTTGGACAGATTTTGAGGTTGAGTCAGACATTTGGAAGCTTTTGCCATCTATGACAGAAAAACAGTAATGATCATATGGAAGGCAAAACTAAAATTCAAAACTTTTATAAGAAATCTACATTTGCCTTTATGGCCTATGCATATAAAATCATATTGCAAGTTTAATTGATTTGGTAAACTAGAATTTTTTTTTCTCAGCAAATTGTAACCTGGTGAACCTTTCCAAAACTAAAGTGAGCATGTATAGTAGAACATATAATAAAACTTCTAATTTAAATTACAAGTCTCACTATCACGGGTTACCAAAATTCTGGTAACTTGGATATTTTTCTTTGATATCCTGTCTAACCTTGTGATCTTCTACCTTTTCTATTTCCTTTCCTGAAACCATATTTGTGATTCAAAATACTTAAAAGTACACAAAATGTACTTAATCATGTTGTACCCTGAACTAAATATTGTATATTTCCCTCTCTTGTATTCAGAATGCACAACAATATTTTTATAAGGTGCAACAACAAAAAGAAGGGTTTATCATCTCCTTCAAAATATTTGTCTATTTTGGGGACTTGTTGTGAGAAATGAATCGAAAAGTATTTCTTCTACCTTACTCCCATGTGTATCAAAAATAATTTCTTTGTTAGGACAAATGTAGCTGTAAGTGCAGATAACACCTACACTACCAATTCATTAGTTTAAATAAAGATCCAAATGTGAACTTGGTGGATTTTCACTTCAGAACAAATTTAAAATTCAAGACTTTAATATTTCCCAACTCACACAATTTGCTATAAAAAACTAAATGAGGTGTATGTTACAGGGCAATACTCTGTGTTCCAAGATAATCTCTTGTATTTCTCTTGAACAAATGAGTGTGTTGTTTCCTCATCAAAAAAACTGAACATCAGTAGAGCATCTTCATTTACCGTCATTTTGTGATTCGATTTTCTCACACATTTTTTAGCATCAATTATTTGTATAACAGGATTTCATTTTGACATGTCCATATAACATACAACTTCTTGGTCATGTTCCATCTCTTTCCACCTAAATTAATCTCAATAATTTTCATTGTTTTATTTTCATACCAAGAACATCTCCAGGGCTGGGAAGGTGGCTCAGTGGTAGAGTGCTTGCCTTGCCTGCATGAGGCCCTGGGTTCAATTCCACAGCACCAAAGCAGAAAAAGCCAGAAGTGGCTCAAGTGGTAGAGCGCTTGCCTTGAGCTGAAGAGCTGAGGGATAGTGCCCAGGCAGGCCCAGAGTTCAGGCTCCATGACCGACCGAAAAAAAAAAAAAAGAACATCTTCAAAATGTTCTACTCTGTCTCTATGTTGAACCCACTGGTGTGTAAACATAAATGAAGTTCCTATTATACACTGAGTTACTCCTTTCTGAAATTCTCTTTAACAAAAAAAATTAGTGGATTAACACATAATTATTTCTCTTTCTATGAACAATGAATTCGTGTCTAGATTAATAATGTATTAATCCAACTGTGCTTTGTTTGTTTGATTAATAAAAAATAAATTTATATATCCACAGACTGATAAGTGTTCATCTTATGTATTCAATATATACTGAAAATATACACTATATCTCAATAAAGTTGACTTTAATATGTTATAATATAGATTCTCAGCTCAGTTTTAAGGTATTTATCCTTCAAGTCATTCTCCTCAATATCATTCTTTAGATGTGCGATTTAATTTTAGATTTTATGTGTTAAGTTTTTATGACTGTAAATTCTTCAAAATAGTTTTATTATAAAACGTTTAATCTAGTAGACATAATGCAAGTATCTCTTGCATTGACCCCTTGTTCACTACTACTGCACTGAATTTTCCTTTGCAAGCATAGCATCCCAACTCAAACTGATTTATTTTTGTTCTTTTTCCGTGTATTTTCTTGATTCAGTATTTTTGCAGACTCTATACCTTTTGTTGAGGTCCCTCTTCTGGCCTCTTCCACTTTCTTCTGCCAGATTTATTTTAGGACTCATTTGAAAAGTCAACTCTTTGAACCTTGATTTCTATAGTTTCCACTGTTCCTGCTGGTAGAAGTATAGTGTTTTTGGTTATTTGTAATTACTGTGCATGTGTTTGTCTTTCGTACTAGAAAATAAGTCCAAAGTAAAAGTAGAGAGACTATGTCTTTTTATTCTGTTCCTTCTGAATACATTGTCTCAATAAGTATTTGCTAAGATAATGAAAGTGAAATAAAAATGATAAGAAATATTAAATAAGTCAGGATAATGAGACAAAGACACATGTTTTGCTCAAATGTGGAAGATAGATTTAGCTTATAAACATATAAGTAAAGATATTGGGCCAGGCACCAGTGGCTCACGCCTGTAAATCCTAGCTAATCACGCCTGTAATCCTAGCTAATCAGGAGGCTGAGATCTGAGGATCCCGGTTCAAAGCCAGCTTAGTCAGAAAACTCTGTGAGACTCATCTCCAATTAACCACCAGAAAACTGGAAGTGGCGCTGTGGATCAAGTGGTACACTGCTTGCCTTAAGCTGAAGAGTGCAGGGGTCATGCCCAAGCCCAGAGTTCAAGCCCTATGACCGACCAAAATAAATAAATTAATTAATTAATAATAAAATATCCGGTGGTAGGCAAGTATATAAAAAAGCACCAACTGAATTATGGTATATTCAAGACAGAAGTCAAATAGTGTAATTCCTAAAAAGGGAAAAAAATCAACATTCAACAAAATAAGCACCTAGAGGGGAGTAAGGTTAGGGGAAAGAGGTGGAAGATGGAGGAAGACAAGAGCAGGAGAATTCATTCAATGAAGGCATTGAATATATGTGACTGAATTCATTGAATATATATTTAACTGTGTAGGAATGAATCCAACTTATATCCTGCAAAATGACGAAGAGTGAGGGAAGGGTTTAATTGGGGGTATGTATGAAAATGTTGACAGGAGAGCAATTGATCAAGATGCATTGTATTAAATAGCAACTCCTTTGTACACCTATTTAAAGTTAATAAAAGTATATTTCAAAAATACTTAGCATCAAACATACATGGACATTTGTATATGTTAGATAATTTATTTAAATTTCCTAAGACTGATATTCTCATTTATAAATTCTGATATCTAGAATACATATTACACCTGTATTGTGGAAAATATAGTGTTACTCTCAAAAAGTAAAAGGATATTATTTTTTATTAGAACATCATTCTTCAATTCCTGAAAGCACAGTAGTGAAATGAATGCCAAGATAGGGACACATATATTTCTTTTTTCTTTCTTGCTATTGTTTCTTACATATTTATAATGTATCATGTGATTTTTTGTTTCTTTGTATGTTCTTCCCCCATGGTATAGCCCCTGTTTTCACTGTATTTGATGTCAGTGCCATGCATCTTGTATATATACTTCTCTAATTTGGGGAGGGGAAGGAAAAAAACAAAATGCTTAAATAGAGATACAGGTTGACCCATTGTAACAATAAAATGTACAAGACACGATGTTGAAAATGAACTTTACAACTTTGGTGGGGGGGGTAGTTGTGGAGGTGGGAGGGAAGGGATAGTAGGGGAAAAACAGAGGAGTAGGTAACAATGCTTAATAGGAAATGGACTTATTACCTTGCTCATGTAACTGTAACCCCTCTGTACAGTATTTTTACAATAAAAAACATACAATAAAGAGAAAATGTTGGATAACAGAAAACAATATCAATAATTTCATTTTTCAAACTATTTTGATGAAATCCTTCATCTTTTCTGAATACTTATACAATAGTTGAAGTATTTGCCAGTAGTTCACTTGGATGGTATGATGATTTGACCAACAGTAAAACTCTAGTCAAAAGTAAGCTGTGATAAGTTTCCTTTATTTTTATGTCTTGTAATTCTAGGAAGTTTTCATTACTTTTTTTCAAAAGAAATAAATGCATTTGATTAGGTTCAATTAAAATGACTATTTTGACTCAATTACTCTTCCTTAAGAACTAATGTACTTGCGTGTTTATATATATATATATATATATACATATTTATACTTTTGCCATTAAAATATTGACATAAATGATCTACATATTTAATGGAAAATATTTATTTCCCAAATATATATATATATAGATAGATAGATAGATGCTTATTTGTTAAATGAAAATATTGCCATAAAGAAGCTAGGAGGAAGCAAATAAAAACAATGATAGTAAAACTGAGGTAAATTGATTACAATAGAGTCTTTCATAAAAACACCTTTCTTTTCTGATCCAGACTGTCTGTACATGCACTGACAAATTTTGGAATGATTTGTTAGGATAGAATGATTATAAAGAATAATCTGAAAATACATTCAAAGAGCTGAATTATTTTATGGTCATGTGACCCTTAGACTGAACCAAAGCCAACATCCTTTGCTATGGAAAATAACAATGTAATGTTTAAAAATATTGAAAATAAAAATATATCATCTATAAATAGTCATGGAAATTTAATTTTTATATCAGATATCATAAACTTTTTTTGTTCTAAGTACATAAAATCAAAAAGGTAGCATATACTGTTAACATTATGGAAATAATTTCAGTCAGTCATCCAAATTAAAATCTATTTGTTTCTTAAAACTAATATTTTGAAACTTTTCATTTTATAAAACTTTTCCTCTATGTATTTTCTAAACCTTTTAACTTTTATTTAAAATCTCTGGGGAAAGTGCTATATTAATGTTGTATTATCAATGGGTACCCTCAAATTATATATTTTATGAATGAACCTTGGGATTGTGTTTATATGTCCTTAGATATAATCAGTAATTCTCACTAATGGAAGAGAATGGGAAGACATAGTTAACTGAAATAAAAAGAGAGCCAACAGACTGGGATAAGATCTTTACCAGCAATACATTTAACAAAGGCCTGATGCAAAATATATAAAGAGCTCAAGAAATCTATCCCCTCCCAAACCTAATAAACCAATCACTAAATGGGAAAAGTCACTAGGAGAGACTGCCACAGAAGAATGGCAAAGAAATGCATGAGGAAATGCTCATCATCCCTGGCTATACAAGAAGTTTAAATCAAAACAATTCTGAGATACCATCTCACCACAGTTAGATTGGCCAACATTGTAAATTCAGACAACAAATGTTGGTGTGGATGTGGGGGAAAATTAAACCATTTACTCTGTTGGTGGCAGTGTAAACAGTACAAGCACTCAGGACAGAAGTCTGGAGGTTCTTCAAGAAAACTGAACATAAATCTGCTCTGTGACTCTTGGGCATCTACCAGCCAGGATACCGTAAAGATACTTGCACATCCATGTTTATTCCTGCACTATTCACAATAGCTAAGTTATAGAAACAGACCAGATACCCTACAATAGATCAAAGTATTAGGGAAAAAAAGTGCCACTTACAAT